TTTGGCTCTTTGATGGCAGAATGGAAGATGGGTGAAAAGTAGGTAAAAGTTCAAAGACCATGGCAGCCAGGGCCTGAGCTAAAATAATAGTGGGAGCAATGAAATGAGTTAACCAATCTGATTAGTACTGAAGAGACTGAACAATGTGGTTTCTAAAATATTGGATATGGTGTGTGTGGGGTGGGGCACACAAATTTTCATCCAGGTGGTGAGTGACGGCCTTTCTCTTACAGGTTGGATGTCTAGACATTGGAAGTATGTAGAGTCTTTTGGGAGTAAAAAGGCCCCAGCACAGGAGAAGTGAGTTAGCAACACCTTTTCTTTCCCCACAGTTTTCACTCCCCATCTCTCTCTACAGCCTGTGGTTGATGTCCTAGGTTATGCATTATGGCATGTCAAATGTACATCCAGATAAGGAGGGTCATGCGTAGAACCATGGCTGCCTGGGCTGACAGAATTCTGGCCTTACCCTTTCGGGTAAGACTATCTCAAGGTGTGAATTTGGGCAGCTGTTTGGTTCCTTGAGATACAAGGTTCCCATTTTTTAAGTGTGTTTCAGGTGAGGTGTCTTCTAGGTGACATTTAAGCTTCATAAGATCTTATGAATCACTCATGAGTAAATAGTCTTCTCTCTTCCTCAGCCCTGTTTCCCCTTCTGACTGGACTGTGATTTCCTGGAAGGCGGGGCAATCAAGTTCATCTGGATCCCAGAGGGCAGACATAGGATATGGGGTTGAGGGCAGGGAAGCAGGCAGTCTGCTTCACATTTTAAGGCAATACTATCCCCTATTATCCCTGCCTCCTGAGATTAAAACAGTATTCTATGTGTCCCTCTATGTAGGGACACACCTGGTCCTAACTTGTACTTGCCTTTCAGAAGAGAATCTCCCCCTCTAAGTATCTTTCACTTGGATTGCCTTTCTACCTCCAGAGGGCTCCCTGATTCTTGGTAGTTCACCAACATCTATATATTCTTTTTGTTGAACTTTCCCGCATTCTAAACCCACTCCATATGCTGTTGCTGGGTTAATCTTCCATAGTTTTGTGATTTTTTTAAGTGCAAATGCCCACGGTGTATATTCATTTACACCATAATGACACCATTTTCATCATAATCTAGCTGCCATACCACTGACATAATGCTCTATGGAACCCGTCATGCAGTCTTCATTCATACGCTTTCCTGCCTCTGTATGCTGCTTACTGTTGTTTCTCCTTCCATGTTTCCTCCTTTCTTCACTTCTTTTTGTTTGTTTGTTTCTTTCTTTCTTTATGACAAGGTCTCATGTACCCCAGGTTAGCCTTGAATTTGTTATGTAACCAAAGATGACTTTAAATTTCTGATCCTCTTGCCTCAGCCTCTCAAGTCTTAAATTACAGGAGCACGTCATGCTGGCTAGCTGTTATTGTTTCTCTGTCTAGAATCCTCACCCCTCCTCACTTCCTCTCTGAGGACAATTTGTCAAAACCCAGCTCCTTCTCCATGTAACTCCTGGAATCCTTCTAGGCTGTATCATAGCCAAAATATTCTATCATCACTAGGCCCATAATGATATCATGTAAATTATTAGAATATTTTTATGAGATGCTTATATCTCACCATCCAAGGATCTTATAAGTTCTTGGATGGTACAGAATATGACTTATGTATCTTTGTATTGATCATTGTCTAATGATAGTGATAATAACAAAAGTAATATTGCCAGATCACTTACAGTTCATAGATATCACCACAAGATCTTTATGGTATCTCTTTTACTATAAATGTGGTTCCCAGCTTATGATAGCTTGATTTATCTTCTAACTTTATGATAGTGTGAAAATAGAAACTATAGTTCAGATTTTGAATATCAGTATTTTCCCAGGCTAGTGATCATTCTCTCTCATGAAGCAGGGCAGAGCAATGAGCTGTTCCCTGTATCCACAAGACCCCAAGGGGAGACAAGTGAGGTTTGAGGCTGTCTGAGGACACTCAGTAGTAGGTGAGGTGTAGTCAATTCATTTTCTATTTACATTATTTTCAACTTACAATGGGAGTATTAGAATGTGACTCAAGATCACCTTAAATACTCGGTTTTTACTGACTCCTTTCTTCAAGTTGGAAAAACAAGCTTGAGGAGTTAAAAAGCTTAGCACGAGGTGGAGGTCATTTATAACAGCATAGTCTCTAGCTTGTCTTTTCAAGTCATAGACACCCCAAAGGTGGAGCTACTGTTACAAGAAGTGGTTTTGTTTTCCTGTCAAGCACTAAAACAAAGGTGCTGAGAAGGCAGAGATGGTTTTGGGGTAAGCTCTGGGAGAGCCAAGGGAAGTCATCGGGAAGGTAGCAGAGCCTGCTATGAGGTGTGAAAAAGGAAAGCATGCTTCCGAAATAGTCCTTTATGTGGAAAGTAGTAAAATATAAAAGTACTTGAGACAATAACCTGTGAAAAAGAGGAAAGTTTGAAGCAAACACTACTGCATAAGCTTACATGAACACTGAAGGTCTTTGGGGTAGCATGGAACATTTTCAGTTAGATTTTGAGGAGTAAGCACGTTCATTATAATTAAGACAATATTTTGTAATGAGAAATCTTGATTGTAAGTAATACGATTCAATTACAAGTAGTGGGTTGTATATGATAGTATAATGTGTTTAGGGCCTAAGCGGGAGTATGGGCTACATTTTGGGTTTGTGTTTGCTCCTGGGAACCATAAACTGGGAACTATAAACTTTAATTTCTTATTCAAAATGCTTCCTAGGGGCCTACCCCATGCGTCTCAGAGTGGAGCAACCATAAGGGAACGAAATGATGACTGGCTTTAGGAGGCTGGAGAAGAATCTGCTGGATTCTGAGGAACACAGTGCTCTGGTCTATTCTGGTAGAGTGTCAACTAATACCCAGGCTACCACTCAGCAAATGGATTCGAGCGCCCACAAGTGTCCTAGCTCTACATATGGGAGAAGCAGTGGTGGGATTATGGGTTCTGGTCAACTAACCTGGGACAGATAACCATTAACACTTAATAGACACACAGATTATGGATAAATGGAGTGTTTGCCATTCTATACATTGTCTCATTTAATGGTCACACCACCCTGAGGAGACAGCTTGGTGAGGTTAGATCACCGTGCAAGTTCCCACCATAGAATGAAGATCCGTAGCTAGACTTTTCAGTCTGACTTGTGCTTACATTATCCTTTGTTCACCAAGGTATATCCCTGCCCTCTGTGTTCTAACTCTAGCTCTGTCACCAACTGGCTGTGTAACTTTAGTAGGTCTTAAAGAGATATTGATGGATGTTGCTTCTAATACTGTGTGCCTCTATCTGATTATGTTATGTAATAAAGGCTTAGAAACAAATACCAACTGTGGAAGGAAATAATGTGACCAGTGTCAGCCTGGGTGCCTAAAATAAATTTGGCCCTGGTAAGGTAAAACAGTAGAAAAAAATAAAAAGACAGAATTTTTTAGAAGGTTAAATTCTCATGATTTAGAACTACTGAATTCTTGAGGTAAGACAGGCAAGCAACATATCGAGAAACAGAGAAGTACCCTCCAGACTGGCAAACAGATTCCTTCCAATCTGTTCTTTCTTCTCGTGTGAGCATGGCAGGGCTGTGGTGGTCGGTCCCTTTGACTTGGCTTTAGGTGTGGGTGGTCAATTCCTAAGCTAAATGATCAGTGAGCTTAAAAAGCAGACAGAGAAGACACATAATGCTGTGTCTCCTAAGAAATAACACGATCCTGGTTGTCCTTACATAAGGACTGAAGGGATTGTATGGGGATAACTGTGTACAAGGACTGTAAGACCCTGATGGGACAGGGTATCTGTGGCCATAGCAGCTATTCCTCACAGATGGGAATTTGTTTTTCTCTTAGAGTAATCAGGCAAGGAGTGAAGTTCTGAAACATGGACTAATGTAGATATACTTTGAAAACCTTGACAGTGTGTGTTCTGTTTAAAATACCTAGCATTTAGTATCTATCCTAACACCATTGGCGTTATTGTTCCCATGTTGGAAAGTGAGACTGTAACATGACTTCTCTCACAATTCACAGCCAGTACAATGAATGTTAGTACACATTCCTCTGGGGAGAATGATGGTACTTCCTCTCTCATTAAGAAGTGTGACATGTTAAACACCCTTCATACCAGAAAGAACTCTTCATATTTTCCCTCAACTGAAATGGAGGTATTATTAAAAGAAGCCAGAGGACTTGTTTTTAAAACATAAGTTTTCCTTCTCAAAAATTTGCTAGAAACATATTTTAGCTTCTTGTCCTGCTGTGGTTTTGGTTCAGAGACAGAGGACAAATGGCAGCTCTGGTTCTTGTCATGGACTTAGAGAGATCATCTCTTTGCTTCATCTGCAAATTTATGTTGTTTTCTTTCAGAAGATTTTCTGTTACAGGCCACATGGTCTCTGACTGAGTCAAGTTGCAGATTCTTAGTCATTCAGAAACTTTAAACTCTGCCAGACAAAGTTAAATCCTGTGCACAGCTTCCTCCTTTCTCCTCAGCAAACTCCCAAAGCTTCTACGGATTTTGCAGTAAGTCCCTCATTCTGCCACTTACAAGACATCTACAAAATATTCTTCCCAGAAAACATGACAATTAAGACTTCTGCTTTTAGTGTTCAATTTTAGAGTTTCCTGACTTTACTTTTCTAAGGCAGAAACAATGTTAAGTGTCTTTAGACCAGAGAATTGTTTTCATAACTTTTTATACAAGTGCCCCAACAAATTGGAT